GACAGGCTGGGTCTGCAGCAGTCTGAGTGGAGATGTCTGCAGTGTCTGCAGGCAGTGGGATGCTTCCAGCAGCAGGGATGCAGTGATGCACACAGGGGAACACAGCACTACCACAACTGTCTACATCCACAGCAGCAGCCTGTAGGTCAGCAGCCTGTCTTTCTGCACTGAGAGCCTCCTTTTGCACACTCACAGACTGGAACTGTCTAAGAAGGCTCCCATGAGGATGCCCAGTAGCACATGTCCCAGCAGCTGGTCCATGCTTGGGTATCATGAGACCTCTCAGGTACTTAGATTCAGGCTCCTTAGGATCAGATAGCATGTGAAAATAAACAAGGTGCCACAGGGATTGAGGGAGAAAGAGTTAAAATCTCTCTCCAGACTGCCATACTTTATCTTATGCAGGCAAATGACATAATTTGGTTTGACGTGTTCACAGTTTCAAAACCTCAAAATTCCTCCTTCCCTGCCAGCAGTAAAATAATTAAGACCTGCTGAAATGTACCTGTGATGGGGCTGATCCTGGGAGATTGATAGGTCTGAGCAAGGAGAGATTCTTTCTCTGACTTTAATGGGAAAGAGATCATGTCACTTGGCAAACCTTCTAAAACTGCCTGAGTAATGTAAAGCTGAAGTTTTACCTTTAGAAGTAATGCAGACACTTCAGTTCCTAAATCACACAGTGAGCACAAGTAGGACTTGGACTTGTAACTTAATTAGATGCCTTTGAAAACCTGAACGTTCTAAATCTCTAAGTAACCAGCAACTGACAGAATATGGAAAACCTCAGAAAAGGTACCCTGCCTGCTAGTAGTTATCTCGATACTTGAGACACATCCAGAGGCTAATGTCTAATAGTCACAGAGAACCATTTATTAGAGGCACTTACCTGTGTGCCCTCTCAAACCATATAGAAGTAGATTTCCTTAAAAGAGTTGGATTTTCTGCCATAAGTTTGTGTATTTTATCTGGACAGAATGGATGAGATTAATTCAGGAAATAATATCTAAATCAAAGCAAAAGAATAAGACTTCCCTGAAACTGTGAGCGACCTTGCCAGCACAGAGCTCTGCCACAGACTAGAAATGCTTCCCAGTCTGACCATCGATAACAGTTCTTTGAATTTGCTTTTTCAGCCAGTTATCAACTTAGGTTGATTTAGTCAGTTGATTTCATCACTATTTGTAATGATATCCTGTAGGACCATGTCAGTAATTTCACTCAAGACAAAGTATCTAATTTATCCCCTATTATCCCTGAAAAAATGAAGACAATTAGATTGGATTGAAACAATTTATTCTTGATAAATATGTGCTATAGCTGCTTTTATTACCTTATTACCCTCTAAATTCTTATAATCCAATCATGTAATAATTTCTCCAGGCACCTTTACAGGTATCAGAATTAAAAGAATAGTTCCCATTATCCTAAAGATACAGGAACATCTATAATTCCCTGGAAACGTCTTTCTATATCTTATTCTTATTATATCTTTTCCCTATATCAAGATGAGCATTATGACTTGCCCTTCTTGAGCACTGCAGGATCTTTTGCACAGATTAAAATCTTGATCTTGAATGCCAGCACAGCCTTCATCATTAAACCCTGAGATTATAACGTTATTATCATCTGGGTACTGATTCCTGCCCTGCTGTGGCTGTCAGCCAGATGTCATAATGCATACAATTAACAGATTTGCTTCTCGGCTTACTAATAACAAGGAAAGCACAAATAATTCATAGGCAGAGGCAAGGGCTCTTTGATGTGCCTGAACTCTGAACCTTTCAGCACCTGAAGGGTGGCAGGCTGAGCGCAGGGCAGCCTCATTAAGGAAAAGAAGGGGGGAAAAAGCAAGCAGAAGAGGAAGAGGAGGCTGCAGGAGGTGCCCCCCTACCCCATGCTGGCATCTGTGACCTCTTCTGGGCCAGGTCCTGCTGCTCCCACCCTCCCACCATGGCCAGGAAAGAGAAGATTCCTTGGGACTGGGGAAGGGACAGGAAAAACCTGTACCTCAGGCAAAAGTACAGACAAAATAATGTCCCTAATTACAAGGTAGCTTTTTTTCTTCCAGAGGTTAAGGGAAGTTCCTGATGAGATCCTTCCATCTGGTTTACAGCCCCTTTGCGCTGGGGCGGTTCAAAGAGGCTGCAGTGTAACTGAGAACTGAGGACAGCATTTATTTATAGTGCGATAGCCTCATAAAAGCCGTAGAGCTGAGCTCACAGCAGTGCGCTTATTTATGTTTTGAACTGCTCATGCAGCACCCTACTGCCTTGCAAAACGTGTACTGTAGCTCCTGCATAAAATTACATGTGACTCTTCAGTAGGTTCATGACACAAAGACAAGGAAAAGTGAAATTAGACTTACAAACCAGCTGATGTAAAAATTGAAGTAGGAGCAGAACTGGAGGAAAATGAATAGCCCAGCTCTGAAATAAAGTAACAGCAAATGAAGATTTGCACCTGAATTCGTTTTTCACAATAGAAGAAAAGAATATCTAAACCCTCTGAATAAGGCAGTAACTCTGATTTCAGTTCCTGGTGACGTTACAAAGGATTTGAGCCTTGCAATAGAGATTTTATAACGACAACCCAGCCCCTGGCATGATCCCAGTATAGTGTCTCACTGCAAATTATATTTGTATCACATTTATCCTTCCTTTTAATATCAATGTACCATCTTTTTGCTTCTGTAACCCAGAGGGGAAAGCAAAGCAGCACCATTTCATTATTACCCTTTAATAGTCTTTCCAGTGATATAAAAGAGAATATTAATATCCTTCCAATGACCTCACCTAAGCACTGCTAAAAGCCAGGGGGGAATGACAAGTTTGTAGCTAATGCACAGGGATGAATTTCTGAAGTTAATGAAAGGATCTCACCCCTGGGTTTTAAGCCTGTTTTCTTTTTAACCTTTTAGCTTCAGTTTCCTCAGCTGTAAGTTGGAGAAAGTAGAATTACATACAAGTCAACAGCATGATTTTATTGAGCGTGGCTCAGTCAGGAGCTTGGTGTGCTGGCAAAGCAAGGAGAGGAAGAAGGCGCATCCTTATGAGGAAAGGCAAATAGTGTCTTTTTGACAGTGTGAGATGCCCAAGCTCTGCCTGTAGCTTTGGCTGGGGAAGCAAAGTTGCTCTGCAGAGATCAAGGAGGTAGGGGAAGAGGAGGTTGGAGAGTTGTAGATGATCCTGACTGCAAGGTGGAAACCCCTTGCACAATTCAGCCCAAGGGTGAGGTGGTGGTTGGAGCAGACCCACTAGCTCTGTGGACAGAGGAGACCAGCCCACACTGGGTGCAGATGGACAGTGCCCTTCATCATGGGTAGTGGGTGTTACCCATCAGTAGTGCAGTAACAGCATGAGCTACACTGTGCTTTAAGATTCCTATTGCTAAGGTCTTAATGATGAAAGAGCAGAAAACGGCTGTGAGAATGTTGTGCCAGATATTCTAGTCACTGGGAAATGAACACAGAAAATTCACAAATCTGATGAACAGAGTAATCAAGGACAAAGTGTTGCTCTTAAGAAAGTGAAATTAACAGTGAAAGAAAACTTAAAGGTGACCAGCAAAGGAAGTGAAATCATAACTCAGTTCTATACGCTGCTTCTTCCTGATCTGTACAAAAGTCTGGGGAAGATGACGATGATTAATCATCTCACTTGTTCTTCACATTAAAAATGCACATTTTGTCCATTCTGGAAAAGCTGGAGGATGTGTGAAGCTCTGACATCACAATAGAGAAAGGAAAGAAGCTGATCATTTTGGTTAACCCTGGTTAGTCAGATTGCCGAGCAGGATTGGGGTCTGGTTGCTGATTATTAACACTTTCATCCAGTTGAGAGTGAACAACCTGCTTAAAGACACTTTGGCTCATGTGCTTTAAGACGTGTGTGTTTTTAATACACAATCTCTGAGATATGGGGTGGTTCCTTTATCAAAATGCAGTGAAGAACAACTATTAGAGGGTGATAAAATAGCACAAGGACAGAACAATAAACTGGCCATTTAATTATCACATAGGATTAAAAACAAGAACAGTTTCTACCTCATAAAAGGCTTCTACTGACTGTACAGACTGCTCCAGAGGCAGTTGATTCAGGATTAAGACCTACTTTTTCTTGAATGCAATATTTCATTTCAATGGAGCCAGGAAGAAAAAGAGATCTGGATTTTGAAATACCATCACTTTATTTATTGTACTAAACCTACTGCATTTGATTTTTAGAAGTACCACAAGAAGAGCTCAGAGCTTGGCCCACATTCAGACTATGAATTTCATGTTTTGTCTTCCAAATCCATTTATAACCCAGACTCACTTCTCAGATTTGTTGCTTGTAGTTCCAGATTTGGAATATGGAAAGAATTGATAAAATCAAGGCAGTGCTGTTCTTCAAGCATGCCTGGCTTTTAATTTAGCACTGAAAGTTTCAAAGAATTTCATACACTCATTTTTTATGTTGATACAGATTTCTTTAATGAAAGTCTGACTACTCTTGGTGCTGCCAGGATTTGAGAAAACCAGTTCAATGTGCCATACAAGACCCTGATCTCACAAGGATTTAAGCTGTGAGGAATGTTACTCATTTGAATAGTCTCATTAAGCAATTTATAGCATTTTTACAATGTGTTTTAAACATGGTTATGCCGCAGCTTAAGGACTTAGTTGTGTACTGGTGATTAATGACATAAGTCAAGAGAAGTCTCATTTTCTTTAAATAATCATAGAACTTGTGTGTGTGTTATTGAATAGTGAAGTGTTGATTTTCGTCTTATTTTGTCCTGTAGATCTTGAGCCTGAGACCATAAATGTACATACCTTTAATGCCCTACTGGTTTATATCAGTTGCCCTATGGAATGACCATCTTTAGATAATAACCCAATATTCATTTACCCAATAATTCGTTCTTATTGGATAATTCTGCTTCTACCTCTAGGAACATTCCTGATGAAGACCTTGAATTCTGAGGAGATTTAAAACCAGGAAGTTTGGAGATCGACCATGGATCGTAAGGCTGAGGAAAAAAGAAAGCAGCACCACAGCTTGACTTTATTGGAACAAGTAAAGAGAATGAAAGAATCAGCGGAGATAGTTGATGTTGTCCTAGTTGCAGAAGGTGAGAAATTCCCCTGCCATAAGGTAGTGCTGGCTGCCTTCAGTCCCTATTTCAAAGCCATGTTTACCTGTGGCTTGGTTGAATGCACTCAAAGGGAAGTGGTGCTGTATGACATCTCTGCAGAGAGCGTGGCCGTACTCCTCGCGTACGTGTACAGCGCAGAGCTGCACCTCACCAACCACAATGTGCAGACTGTTGCGCTTGCTGCCTATTTCATGCAGATGGAAGATGTTTTCAGTATGTGTCAGAAGTACATGATGGACCATATGGATGCTTCCAACTGTGTAGGCATCTACTACTTTGCAAGCCACATTGGGGCAGAAGATTTATCTGACCAAGCGAGGAAATATTTATATCAGCATTTTGCTGAGGTGAGCCTACAGGAAGAAATATTAGAGATTGAATTCCAGCAGCTGTTGACTCTCATAAAATCAGATGATCTGAATATTTCCAGGGAGGAGAACATTCTAGACCTTGTCATTCGATGGGTCAAACACAGCAGAAAATCACGTGAAGAGCACCTCATTGAGCTCCTGAAGCAAGTGAGACTGGTACTTGTCAGCCCTTCCTTTCTGCTGGAAGCCCGCAAGAGGAACACAATGATCCTGTGCAATTCGGAATGCAATGACATGTTTGAGGAAGCACTGAAAACCATCAAACTATCCAGCCACCCTTCTCTTAGCCTGCGCTATGGCATGGAGACTACTGATCTCTTACTCTGCATTGGCAACAATTCTCTCGGCATTAGGTCAAGACACGGTAGTTATGCAGATGCCAGCTTTTGCTACGCTCCTGCAACACAAAAGACTTACTTTATCTCCTCCCCAAAGTACGGAGAGGGCTTAGGATGTGTTTGCACTGGTGTCGTGACTGAGAAAAATGATATTATTGTGGCAGGCGAGGCAAGCGCTGTCAAAAGGTCCAGACAAAAGACCAGGAACATCGAAATTTATAGGTGTGTACCCTGAGTCAGAAATTCCCACCTTACTTAAACATTTTAAATCCAAATCATGTTTCTGGGAACAAAAAAGACCATTAGACAAAACTTTCTTTACTTGAAAGTTGTCCCAGAGATTTGAATTAATCAATTTGTCACAATTTATCTTCATAGCACTGAATTATAAACATACAATCAAACCTTGATGCCTTTTATCCTGAAAGAAGGAGGATTTGCTGTAGTGGCATCTCTGTGTAAATGAGCGTGACTAGATCCTGCATTAGTGTATGTGGATTTTATATTGTCCTTATGGAAATCTCAATATTTTCCTGGGATACTCTTTTCTAGGTCATTAGCAGGGGAAAATGAGTCAAGTGAATGGCCCAAGGAGTTCAGTAAGATAGAGAAAACACACTTCTCTATTGATGATAGTACTTCAGAGATTAAAGCAGGGTGATTAATAGCTCTGAACCCTCATTCTGTTTTTATTCATGTCTTTTTCAGATGCACCCATTTTAAAGAAAACTAGACTTTTTCTGGATTAAAGATAAAATTAAGAAACGGTGACTGCATTTGCAAATACAGATCCCTAAATTTAAGGAAGTAAGTCCACAATGAGGCAGATGAAGTGGCCTTATTTTCAGCAGTGCTGAGCTCTTGCTCTTCCCACTAAGTTCAGCTAAAACTGTGACTGAACAGCACATGCAGAAATAAGGGACTTCTTACCTTAATGGGGGTGAAGTATCTTTGAAAGGATGCCTAGGACTCCTTGTGCTAAAAATGCTTGATCTTGCAAACGTTGGGCTCAATTTTATAACTTCTCTGTGGAGGAGAAACCTCCTCTTGTCATTGCACTATTGTCTGAATAAACATTAATGATCAAGGGGGTAATCAGAACAAGCTGATGGGACCTCAATGAACCAGGGCATTTACAGCTTTGGGTTTTCCTACAGATACCACCAGCAAGGGAACCAGTTTTGGCACAGCCTGTGCACCACTGAGCTCCGTGAACTCTATGCATTGGGCACTATCCATAATGATCTCTACGTAATAGGAGGGCAAATGAAAGTGAAAAATCAGTATCTGGTTACAAACAGTGTGGAAAAGTATTCCATGGAGCAAGGCACCTGGAGAACCACGGCACCTCTTCCTGTACCATTAGCCTGCCATATGGTGGTGACGGTGAAGAATAAGCTCTATGTGCTGGGTGGATGGACGCCACAGGTTAAGAAACGTGCCAGTTACTTTGTTTTGTTTGTGCACTAACAAACTCTGTTGTGTAATTTTATGGTGCTTCTTGCATAGGAAAAATACATCAGTCAGAGCAGAAGAATATTGCTCACATTCATGGAAACAGAGAATCTCAGACCTGGTTTGTGTGGGAAGGGACCTTAAAGCTCATCCAGTACCATCCTCCTGCCATGGGCAGAGACACCTTCCACTAGAGAAGGTTGCTCAAAAGCCCCATTCCTCTGCTTGAACATGTTTTGTAGTAAAAGCGAACAGGATGAAGAAGAATAACGCCCATCATGTGCCATCTTCACTGTAAATGCCAGCTTCAGGAAGAGCTGTGCTTTCATAGAGACGTGCACAGAGAGCAAGAGTATAAAATGCACCTCCTGTGTCAACATGCATTCCAGCCTTGCCTTTCCTTTCCTTTCCTTATTTACCATCCTCTTAATTTGTTTAGGTGTCAGTAAATAATGGTATTTAAACCGTACAGGGGCCCCTAACTGAGCCCTAACTGAGTCTCAAGAAGTGTGTACAGAGGTAAATTCCAGGGACAGATCTATATATGAAATTTAAAGTTCAGCTCAATTCCTCAGGAAGCTTTCTTGGGTTACTAACATTCATTTATTTGATTTACTTTATATTTTATTCTCTGGAGCACAGATTCCCTTAATCGATCCATTCATTTGTTTCAGTTGCATTGCTCGGCCATGTACAGTTTTAACAGGAATTTTCAACAGTTCCACAGACACCAGGTTCAGTAGTGCAGGGAATATAGAGACCTATGCTACAAGGAACATGGATGTCAGGAGCAGTACTTGCTCTCTCCAGTTGCTCCCAGTGCAAAAGAGCTCAATTTTAAGAGTCTAGCCCATTCTTATTTAGTGCTCAGTGCAATCAAAATTGGGCACTCAAGATAAAGCCCCACATTTACTTGACAATGAAGAACATCTGTAATCCTATTGCCAAGAGCAACATGTTCAGACTGTCATCACATCTCATTGGTTTGTGTTCTCTTGAAATAAATTACTGTTTAAAGTATTGAAAAGTGAGAAGCGTTGAGCAAAGTTTTCCACCTCTTTGGATGTTTTGAGTGCAGGAGTTCCCAAAGGAGACAACAGGATGAGCAGAGAGTATTTCTGATACTGAAACACCTGAGCAAGGATACCTCACTATTTAAAGGATGAAAAAAGGAAAATGCTTCATGTAGAAACAATCTGTGGAAAAACTTGAACTGAAAGATATGTCATATAGCAAAGATGGATGTTGAAGTCGGACAACTAGCTTTGTCTTGCTTAATAGCTCTCTGGACAGATTGTAAGGGGGGAAAGTGGCTTAGAAGTCAGAATATTGAGCCAAGAATGGTTTTAAAAAACAGTACAGGCATCTTGAAAACACGTGAAGGGGATACCTGTCATCCAGTGCTATCTGAAACAATAGGTGGAGTCTGAGTTTATGTATAAATAGGCTTGAGATGAGCAGATTAACAGTAATAGATTAAACCCCTATCTTTGTAGGATTAGAGTGTACCTGAAAAGATCAGAATAAAATAGCTAAAGCTCTCCAAAAACATGCTTTAGGACCAGGACTGCAGAGTGCTGAGTTCTTCTGGTACCATGTATCTCCTCCACTCACCTGCCAGATGCAATGACTGTAGAGCTGGGGCTACCACAGCTGCACTGTGAAAGCAGATTAGTTCCTTGAGCCAGGAGCTGTCCCTGTGCTCAAGCACTGAATGTTCTGTCAATCCTGAACAAATACTAACGACACAGCATTGATGGAGTGCCCTAAATGTGTGTGTCCATTACAGGACAGAGATAAATACATGTTCCCATCCCACTCCGGCTTTGTAGTTGGAACAAGACAAGGCAAAGTCAAGCCAGGACATTAAATGACAGCTTAGGAGGGCAAGGGCTTGACTCACAGCAGCATTGCTCTGGCTCAGCATTGGTCCAGCCTCCCTGATGCCAATGGAGTTAAAAACCAAAGTGACTCCAGCCTTGGCAAGTGGGGCTTTTAAAACTGGCCCTTGAGACAGAGAGAAGGGCTGCTGGATGTTTTATTTTCCGTACATAAAGAGCAAAGGGCGTGCTCTGAGGTGAATGTTACCACAAAAATGAGGTAGGATGTGAACTTACAGTATGTCAGATGGTGCCTGCTCCTAGGTATATGCTTACCCTGTGTTGAAAATACACAGCTCACTCCTCTTTAAGTGAATAAATTAATGTTTCACGCTTACCACAGAGGAAAAGCATGCCCATGGGCACTTACAGGGAGTAACCAAAGGACTAAATATTTACTTTCTCATTTGCCTTCTACTTTCTTGCCGGTGACAGTAGTGTTGGGAAGGTCTTTTGAGAAAGAATAATAACAAAGAAAGCAAAACCACATATAACACCATCAGAAGCAAGCAAAGTAGTTCTCTCCTCCTCAGTCTCTCTACCTGGAACCTTTCGTCCCAAAATATGTCAGGATCCTCCCCCCACAGCCTACTGCTTACATTCAAGGGTGTCGTACCCAGAAAACATAATCTGAGTTCCCCACATCATACAAGACAAGCAGATAAAGGGGAAGAAGATTAGAGAGAACAAGAGGAGTAGGAGTATTAAAAGACTATTATGGCAGCACAGATTAGCAGAGGGGTAGGAATTTATTATAAAAGCTATTGAAGTTATAGCAGTTGGACAACATTACTCTGGTTAGGCTGACTAAATAAACACACAACTGGCTTGAAAATAAGTTATGTATATATACAGGCCTGAAAAATGCCAGCAAAGTACCTTGGTGAGAATCACAGTACGGTCTGAGTAACAGTGGGAATAGATTTCAACCTTTAGCAGGAAAAAAGATGTCAATAGACTGGTTTTTCCTCTATTATTAGGACTTTACAGCAGCCTTGTGAAAAAAGTACTTTCAATCAGAGGCAGAACCCATGAATGGGTTCATGGAGGGCCCATGAATGCATTGTTATTACCCAAATTCCCAGCTTTATTGCTGCAGGGTGCAAATGTCCTCTTATTCACTTGCCTTCCACAGTGCTCTCCCAATCACAAGTCATGGGTGCTGTAAACCCTAGGGAGCATGAATCACTTTGCAGCTATAATTAATGTGTTTGTTATTTCTCTGCCGAGCTGTCTGCTGTGATTAATTGCATGCAGGCATGTGCAAAGGGCTCCAAATGTTGTATTATTACACGGCTGTCATATTTCATACAGATGGATCTGCCTGACGATGAGCCGGATCGATTAAGTAACAGAATGTTTCGGTACGACCCAGGCCAAGACAAATGGACAGAAAGAGCACCAATGAAGTACTCCAAATACCGCTTCAGCGCAGCCGTAGTCAACAGCGAGATTTATGTCTTGGGTAAGAGAAATAGATTTTGAACAGATAGTACCTAACTTCTTCTTCTTTACAGCAATTTGCGGCTGCAAAGTGAAATATCTCACCCTGTCCTAAGTACTGGAGGACAAAGTATATTGGGCTAAAAGGACAGCATTTTTCTCAATTTATTTTGCCCCCTCAACACTTCTTCCTTACTTACTATATGTAGATTAAAGTAAGGGAGTGTTTAGTGTTCTGGATTAATAGGCTTTACTTTTTAAACTACTTTTGCTTAGAGTATCAGTGTGTGCTATAGATAATAGTGAATTTTGAAAGGTGGGTAGAGAAGCCTTGCTATCACCATTTCACAGGTGAGCAGTGAAAAGCTAAGGAACATACCCAGTATAGAATCATAGAATCCCAGACTAGGAAAAATACATCAGTCATAGCAGAAGAATATTGCTCACATTCATGGAATCACAGAATCCCAGACTGGTTTGGGATGAAGGGATCTTAAAGCTTATTCAGTTCCAACCCCCTGCCATGAGCAGAGACACCTTCCACTAGAGCGGGTTGCTCCATGCCCCTGTGTCCAACCTGGCCTTGAACACTGCCAGCATCATAAAAAGGAACAGGGGAAAAGAGAATTCAGATCTCCCAGTCGAAACCAACATTACTTGTGGATTCTGCTAAAATTCAATGACTTATATATTCCTTCACCTCATTGCAGTGCACTAAAAAAAAAAATTTCATTTTGTCATTTTTTGATTGACTATTTTCAATTTTCTGTTTCAAAACAGTATTTTGACTGGAAGTTTTAGGACCTGTGTGAGTCTTGTTTCCTTAGGAAATAAAGTAATATTAGAACTAATTTTTAATTGAAAGACAAACCTGATACTGAGCCAAAACTGATTTGTCAACAAATTCTACCTATGAATATGCTGCTTCAAATCCACCTTTAACAGTGTAGGTGGAAATGAAGATTTATCTGCAATCTCCATGGGCATCCTGCAGACTGCACCCATCTAAGAAGATCCAGATCTGCTGGGGGCAGAAGAAAGAGAAGGGAGGGAGGCAAGGTGAAAACAAGTAAATGCAAGACATGTTCTGTATGTCATGACCAAGCCCTGCTTCCCAGGAATAAAGAAATACATAGCTCTGGCTTGGAACATGCAGATACTGCAGAGAGATGATACTTCTTTCAAGCAGCTCTTGAAAACAAAGTCCTTAAATGAAGTTTGTCAGCTCTTTCAGGCAAGATCTCTGCCTTCCTGTACAGTTCATACAGGTGTCAGCACATTCAGGATTAGGTGGAACTCCAGAGCATAAAGGAAAAATCACTGCAGAGAAATTTCATCCTCTCTAATGTCTCTGAATGTGATTTCTGTCATAAATCTGAAGCAAAAGGCAAAACTAGCTTTGAACAAGATGCAGTAGCAGACTCTCATACGCAAGTTTAAATTTTGCTCTCATCCATATAGGTGTAAATCTGTAGTAAATATTCTGCTGATCTCAATTGTGTTGTGTCAGGCTAGTTTTGTTCAGACACTTAGCCTTTGAAGTGTTAATTTCTGAAAAGTCCTGTTGGCACAGAACAGAGAGAACACAGTTACTGGCCAAAACCCCTTCCCAGCCTAATTGCCAGCTCCAGCATGTAAAGCCCTCATCGCTTTAGTGGAATTATTCTAGAGTCACTCAGACGGAGGAAAAACCGTCATAAATAAATAAAAGAGAGAAATAAAATAGAGGTTTTGGTCTGAGCAATAGCATTGTTCAGGAACCTGTACCATGGGTCTGACTCAGCAACCCTGCGATATAACTGTCTGTCGTGTAATGTTCCTAGAGATTCTTATGCTATTTATACAGTGTACGTAATTCTCATAAAGTAATTGAACAGCATTTCCTAAGGCTCAAAATCCTTTCTCCTATTCATCCCATTTGATGGTCTTAGCTCTTTCTCTTCATATTTTCCCAGGAACATAACTATATCGGTTGGAAAGCCCAAGAAAGAGTGGTATTGTTTTCTTAATGACAGGGGCAATTGAGACACTTTTGGAAGCAAACCAGATGGGAGGGCTCTATTTAAGGTCACACATTTTAATCTCTTGCTTAAAAAAATATCCTTTCCAGCTCAGTGTCTGAAAACTCCCTATAGCCAACATACAATCTGGGAAAATTTATCCACATAAATCAGCTTGAATGCCATATTCATTAGCTTCTGTTAAAGCATGCTGAAATGCAGGTCACTGGTAAAAACTGTTGTATCACCATGACAGCTTTACCCATGTGTTGTTTTTATGTTATATAATTCCTGCTTTATAAATAAGAACATATAGAAGGATGTTAATGAGAAATCCTAATGGGGAGATTTAGGAACAAGGAATTTTTGTTTGTCCTTCTCAGCCTGGAATCTCACCTCTTACAACTTCTTGTTTTCTCCCCTGAGTTCTTGCTGAGAGCTTCTTTTAGAAGTTTAAGCAGTTAAATGAGGCTCAATTAAATCCTGAATGTCTCAATCATAAAATACCTATTTGAATATGTACTTAGGGATCTCTCTGCAAAGGAAAGTGTGTGTAGGAAGGGCTGGAAGGAGACATTTTCACTTTCCTGCTTGAGAATTAACTGTACGTTTGAATAACACCTTCTTCTAAAATAAACACGTCTATTTATAAATATACTTTGGAGTTCTGTCAAGTAGCAGCTCATGGGTCTGATTCTGCTCCGTTACACCTGTGCAACAGATTCCCTAGTGCCTGTGTGCAGGGAGGAGCAGAAAAGGCAAAAATCTCATGTGATAGATAAGATCAGAAATGCTTTCTACTGATTTAGAGGTTATCAAAGGAAATGAGAACAAGGCATTAGAGGACAAAAGGAGCTGGAACTGAAGCAGTGACCATGCTCAGGAAGACAATCATTTGCTTTTTCAGCCCTGCTTCTAATTAGTCTGTTGCCCTCATGCCTTCTACAAGCTGCTTTACCTCATCTGCTGGGCTCTGTATTAGTAAACAATGACAATGCTTCTTGGTTTCATCCTTGGAAGTGCCTGCCAGGGCTCGCTTTATAGCTTCCTTCTTTCCTCAGGCACCAGCCCAGCTTCGCATGGAATGAGAGCATAGCATCAGTGCTGAGCTTCTCAGCTTGAGTGCTGCTGAAGAGTAAAGAAGCGACACGTTATGTGAGAGATTAGTGCTATTAAATCCATTGTGCATCCCAGAGATCAATTTAATAGTGAATTATTCTACGGGAAGCAAAGCTTAGATTTCACTTGCTTACTGGGGAATTACTGTTGCTTTTTTTCCCCCACCCTTTTCCTGGGTTCTTTTGATAAAAATTCAAAGAGGTAATACAAAGAATACGTGTTGCTGGGCTTTGTGATCTGAGGACTTAATGACATGATAAAAAGTTACAGAGTCAGTGCCCTGGGGGCACTAACAGGTCTTGAGCATCCTAACCAGCATCACCTGGGGCCTCCACCCACAGGCTCTGCCCATAGGCCCAGGAGCATCATTTAAGCACAGGCTTGGGGACTATTAGCTCTTTCTCCTCACCTTTTCTTTACCTGAGAGCTGTAGGTAGGACCTTCTGCAATTGCCTGCCTCTGGATCTGTGGAGCTGAGCCCTGATGGTGAGTTCACTACATGGGTCACTTTCCCTTTGAAAGAAGCTTTGCTCTTTTTGCTTCCTGATATACTGCCCTGGCTCAGAGTCTGTAGCTAATGTCAAATTTCAGGTGTCTGTTGGTGAGGGAAACTAAATTAAATACTGTGAAGTCTGATATTGAGAGCTTCCCACCACCCTGCTCCACTCAGTGGAGTACATAACCTCTTTTCAGTCCTATCTGGACCACCAGCTACCTTGTAGGTGTCATTTTGATCAGCCCTCCTGCTCATGCAATGAGCAATCTAGACTTGGATCTGCATGCTTATCCTTGGGGGGGAGTTGCCCATGTGGGGCTCAGCTGGCTGGCAAATTTAGCTGCATAAATGCTTGGTGCGGAGGAGACTTGGAAGTGCAATTGCTCTGTGTTACTGCCCGCTTCAACAAGTATCAGTGTTGGGGTGAAGTTGCTGGGTTCATAGAATCCCAGAATGGTTTGGGTTGAGACCTTAAAGTCTATCTAGTTGCAACTCCCCTCCCATGGGCAGGGGCACACGTAGGTTGGAGTGTTCCTTATCTCTTTAAACATAACTGTACATCAATCTCACTCCTATAGAAATACACATCCACACCTAAGGCATTTATTTCCTTTGCACCTGCGGAACTAATTATTACCAGTGACTCGTTACCACTTTACTGCTGTTCTCCCTCAAGTGCTGGGAGGCTGTTCTGTTATTAGAACTCATGTGACTCAAATTGCACTCAGTCTTCTCTGATGAGTGTGGGGTGAGGGAGAGGCAGCTGACCTCACCAAAGTGATCTGCTTTGCCTTCAGCCAGCAAGGAGCAGTGTGTAGGTATAGCAGGGCACAGAACCCTTCCTCACTGGAATTCTGGAGATGTGTTAATTGCATCACCTATCCTGCTCTGCTTTCTTGCTTCAAAGGCTCATCTTCTCTATCCTGATTTCTTAATAAAGATCATGTATTTTATTTATATATTTATTTTACTAATGGAGCTTCATGTTAAATTTAAAGTCCATTAGAACCACTGCTTGCAGAGTGCCCTTGAAATTATGTTTGATTGCAGAATCATCCAGGCGTGATATGAAAAGCTCTCAAGCATTAATGGCTTTGGGAACAAAAAGGTGGCTTCACTGGCTTTTTTAGTCCTTCAGTGGCATCTGAAACATCTCCTAGGGAAAGCGCGTGGTGTAAAAAGCCTAACGTGTTGGAAGGGTGTATTTGTAAGGGGAGGGGGGAAGGCTGAGTTAGGGGGTTAAATCCTCTGGTGTGATCAATGTGCAAATGACAGGAATGTTCAAAACTCCCAGTGAGAAATCCATCTTCCCCTGCTCTAAGGAGTTGTAATTGGTCTTTTGGAGAGAACTAAGTCAGGTGGTGCTGAATCACCTGCTCTGGTTGTGATGAGATAGGGAACTGTGGCTTAATGAAGGACCCTTCCCAGATTCCATCACAGAATGAGCATGGGAATAGCTATTGCTCCTCTTCAGATACCTGTCACGACTCCCGGGAGGCTGTGACACAGCATTTGTGCTTTAATGACCACATCCATACCTCTGGAGGGTTTAAGAAGCAATCCCAAGTACAGGTCCACATGCTGCAGGAGGGCTGCTTGGCTCAAGAGTCATAGAATCATAGAATAGTTAGGGTTGGAAAGGACTTTAAGATCATCTAGTTCCAACCCCCCTGCCACGGGCAGGGACACCACACACTAAGCTATGCTCCCCGAATGGCCTAAAGTCAGTAAAGAGGGTGGAGCTCTTCACTGTGCTCTGCCTTAGCATCTTAAATGTTACCCCCTTTTTATGTGAGGTCTCCTTTAGGAGCAGAGCATGAACTCAGTTGTTCAGCTGTTCTCTGCCCAGAGAACATGAAATAAAGACAGTCCTCATGGTCTGTACTGTAATTCCACATGCCCCCCTGCGCACTCCTAGTGGTTCTGGAAATGTGAATGGAGCAGCCAGTGGGACAGGATGATCTGGAGTCATGAGGGATGCAGCACAAAGCAGCCAGAATTGTCTGACACAGCAACTTTCTTTTTATCTGCCAACTCGAAGGCTCACGTGGTATTTACAGTGTACATGATGGACGGTGGTGTTAATGTGAGATGCCTCTGCTTGGTTGCAGATGTGAATTGATTTAAAGCTGAGATTTATTTTTTTTTCTTCTTGATTTGTGTATTCAGTTCTTTGGGAAGAGGCCTGAGACATCAGCCTCCATAGGGGAATAAAAGTGTTGTCTCACAGCAGTATTTCTCAACTACTGCAGCTGGGAACAGAGTGAAGCAGAGTCTAATATCCTCAGATTCCTTTGTTAGCAATATTTCAGGGTTTGCATTGCTTTGGAAGAGGAGATTGAAATTCTTAATTTCTTATTTTTCAGAATACTGGTTTTCTAAGCTTGAAAATGAAACTTTACTCCCCTCTGATTTTCCTTCATACTTTTTATTGGCTGAGAACTTGGTTTTCCCCTTGTTGTAAATTGAACATAAAATTGGATTTATCTGGAACAACTGCTGAGGGTCTAAATAAAATGGAGATATCTTGTAGCTTCAGGTCTGTCTGTGATAATGACAAGGCTAAAGGAGGTTACATTTAAGTTGCTTAAACTATCCAGTGACTATTTCACAAATACTTTGAAATGTGGCAGCTCTTGAAGTTGTCAGAAGATGCTTCAATAAGTCATGAAAAAATTACTTCTCAACTTCTTTCTTTTCATGCAGTAAAAGTGTTTGGGGGGGAATCCCTGCATTGGCAGCTGAATGTCTCCATGAAATGGCAATTGGGAATTTATTGCACAAAGTCACTGCCTGTGCTGTATTAGTTTTGTACCTGATTATTTCTATTCTTTCTGAAGCTACCATACCCCATAGTTATTTGATTTAGAAACAGGCAATACAAATACACTAAGAAATAAGCAGTGATTATGGCTCTGGGAGAGTTTGGGGGCATTTTGTCCACTTGAAGTATTGAGGCAATTGGCAAAGCTATTTCTGTTTGACTCTGACATGCCAAATGCATTCCCTAACTGGTACCATTCATTCCTCTGACTGAACAAGATGCTTTCTCATTCTTGTTACAAAGAATTTTCTTATGGGTGAGTGCATGTTCACAGTGGTGAACAGCAACACCTGGGCTAATGTAAAATAGGCTGGCTTGATAACACGCAGCAGCCTGTTTTTGGCACCACAGAACTGTCTTCTGAACAGATCAAACTCATCTGGGGAGCTTAGTATTACTGATTGCCGGTTAAAACTACTTTGTTAAAACCTTTCTACATTACACTGCACTGTGTAGAGTGCCCACACCCTGGGAGCAAACTGTCTTGCATGTTGTACTCTGTATTTTACCAAAGAACGCTGTAGAATCAGCAATGTTGTGATAAGCAATAAATAGGCTTATCAGTTAAAAAATCTGATTAGCCCTTTAAAATTTTCTTGATAAATTTAGGGGAATTTAAGGACCAGTATCCTGTCCTTAAAGTGGCACTTCTCTTACAAGCCATAAAGGAATGATGTAGAATGCTGCATGGAAGAGAATAATGCTCCTGGCATAAAGAACGATACAATTGGTAAAAGTCTAAGTACAATAAATAAGTCTAAATTCTGAATTTTAGTTTTGTTTCTAAACAGCCCTAAGGAATACCTTGTGAGACTCCACTGCAAGAAAGGCTCAGCATGGGGGTGCATACAACTCCCTTTTGGGCATGGAAATGATTAGCAAAATTCCATGACCGCAATTACTGCTCACCTCAGCTCTCTGAGGAGAATCCAGCCTCCAAGGAGGAGCCCATCAGAGCAAATGCTGCTTAGCTGGGGGTGTTGAGTTAGTAATGAGAACTTAAGTACCCTGAGGGGAACCTAATACAAACTGCTAGGACCTTGCTGGTGGGTATTAGGGCAAGTAAAGATTTACTGTGCATGGCAAAGGAGCTGGAAACCAAACCCTGTGAAGGTTTTCAAATTCAAGTATTGAACTGAACCAAATGCTGCTAACTTCAATGAGAGGAAAGCTTCCTGCTGGTGATAATGGACACTGGATTTGTTTCTGATTTTTCTGCTCTGATGCAGGGATAACTGCTCTTACCTTTAACCAACTCTAAAATACAGCTCAGGAATACAGTGGTAGCAAATCTGGAGCATTGTGGTACCCATTTACATGTAGTTACCTCTTGCACATACCTCTGGAGAATGCAGAAAAGGTTGAAAAAATAACACAGCTCATATTAAAAGGTAGGTGTAAACCCATGTGCAAGTAAAACTTGGAGCACGAGGGGTTCATTTCTCAGACCAGCCTCACAGCACTAGGAGCAATAGATTTTAAAAGCAGCTGCACCAGCCTTGTAGAGGTTACACTTGCAGCCCTTCCATTTGTATATGCAAAGGCATAATTACATGCTGTATAATGCATTTTGGATTTGCACAAGTGAGCAGTCCTACACGTGTATCTGGGAAGCAAGGCTCCATGTGGAAACTGCATATTGCAGTCATTTTATGTTTAAAAGTGGTCACACACACACATGCACAAAAGAAGTGCTTCAGCATGCCATCAGTGCTCATTACAGGGTATTGTGTCCACTGGCACAGATGGGAAACCTGTGAGGGTACGTCAGCATGTTAATTCTTGAGAAGCAGGGGCTGTGAATTCCAAAGCTGGATTTGATCACAGGAAAGGATTTGGAAAGGCAGCGTTCACACTGATTCCAGAGTTCGGTGTTTCCAGTGCGCACTGAGACCTTGGTTATGTCTGCAGCCTGTTGCAGTGTGTCCCAGCAAATGAAACCTGGGTTCTGTTTTAATCCTGACTTTGAGCATCCTGATTAACCCTTCAGTAGCAGGGCTTCTCATAAGTAACTCAGCTGGCACTCCTGCATATTAGATGGGTTCATTTCTGGAAGTTGATTTCCCTTAAGAAGTGGGTGTAATCTTTATCTTTTATTGAAGACAAGGAACAAATCCAAGTGATTGTTAGGTAACACACGTGAGGGTCAACTCCACCATCAGTAATTAGAAAATAGTTTTTGATCTGTTGCAACTTTATGGTAAAATGATGTGTCCAGCACAGAGAACAAGTAATCATGACAATTTCTACTATATAGGCAGAGAACAAGACAAAGTACCTTTGCATTTTGAAGACATGCTGCTTGCCCTTCTTTTGATACAAGGCTTCAGAGAGGCTCTTGCTTTGATGTCTGTAGATAATGTGCAGTAGCTTCTACTATGAGTTTACTTTCTCACAAACTTCTGGAGCTGCAAAAGGGAAAAGGAGGGAAGGAGATGAGGACCTGCACACAAAGCGATGCTGCCAGCAGTGTTGTTTTCAGCAGAACGTGGGACTGCTTTATTTGACCTGGGTGTCTTTTGCAGGAGGAATTGGGTGCCTTGGTCATGACAGAGGACAGACACGCAAATGTCTTGATGCTGTGGAGATCTATAACCCTGATGGAGACTTCTGGAGGGATGGACCTCCAATGCCTTCTCCCCTCCTCTCCTTACGAACAAACTCCACTAGCGCTGGCTCCGTGGAAGGAAAGCTCTACCTCTGTGGAGGATTTCATGGAGCAGGTACTAAGATGAGTCTCTTCTCTGTGTAGTTGAAATGAGTTTCATTGTACACACACTGATCTGATGACTGATCAACCCTATCAGGTGGCACTAGCATGCCCTGGAACCACAGAGCTGTTTCAGCCCTTTGGACTCCCAGCTCCCAATGTCAATATGAATCGTATTCTGTTTGCCCTTTGCTTTTTTCCTTAACAAAACATGAAAAATTAAGGATGCTTCTGATCTGCACTAAACGTCTACAGCCTTAGTAAAATTCTCCTGGATTTACATCCAGAGCTACTGAGATGACGAGCTTAGTGTGTTATGGACATTAGAGAACTTGGGTCTATTTGTTGAAGATTAATGTGTTATCCATCTGTCCTTAGCCAAGCTACCTGGCTTTGCCTATTTACTTACATGCTTTTCTTAATCTGTGTTGAAAAAGCTTGTGTATTTCTGTATTTAACAAGAACTCTGGGTAGGGAACTGAGATACAGAGAGACTAAAATTCCAGATCTGGTGAGTTTAAGTAATCCTAGCCCCATGGCCACCTTTCTTCTTTTAAGTCATCTTCTTTCTGGCTGTTCTTAGTTCTATCTAAATTGCCAGTACTGCTAACAACTATTTTTTTCATCATAAATGCAAAGAGTCTCAAAACAGGCACACTTAAGCTCTTCTGCTACACAGAGCTGTCACCCCAATTTCCTCTCTAGGAGAAAGCAGCAATACAGATGCATTATCCATTGCTAATAAATGTTATGTCAGGTTCATTGTTGCCCAGCAGTAGCCATTGGTATCACTGGGAGATGTGTCCTTTGCCTTACACTGACCCCAGTTGCACTGACTGACTTGCATAACAAACTCTAAAGCTGCTTTTAGAATGATGATTTCCATCTAATTCAGAACTTGCCTTCCCCCTCCCTTCATGTGCTGCTCTTTGAGGAAGCTGCTCCCTGAAAGCATTTGTATGGCAGCTCTCTAACAAGCATGTTCTTCTGATGGAAGTTCTGTGACCTCAGAGCTATTATGGTTGTGACACATCACTGTGTTTCCATAGCAAACACTCTGCCATCATATTTTTCTCTTTCTCAGCGTTACAAAAAATGCTAAAGTCAGTGGGTACAGATCTCAACAGGCTGCCCAGGGCAGTGGTGCAGTCACCATCCCTGGAGGGATGTGAAAGATATGTAGATGGTACTTAGGGAGATGGTTTAGTGGTGGATTTGTTAGTGGCTAATGGTTGCACTTGATGATCTTAAAGGTCTTTTCCAAACTAAACTATTCTATGATCATTTCCACTGGCAAATGAAGCAATTTCATTCAAAATGACTAACAGATTAGTATGACATTTTCTGCACAAAGTACCTTCAGAGCAATAGAAATGCACTCTGCAAAATCCCACCACGTGCTGTCACTGAGTCATGTCTGAAGAATGGTAGTGGTGGGAGAGGTTGAAAGTCCCCCTCTGTATTTCAAGACGGCCATTTCCTGTATGTTTATCTAATGCCAGCTCAATGGGGTCCTCATTCCTGATGGTACTAGTGCAATCTATATAACTATGTATAGAATTCTCCTGCACTAAAAGTGTTATTTAGATTGGAAAACAAGAAGTCAAAGTTGGAAAATGCCAGTTTTGCTGTTACCTGTGCAGTCTGAATTCTGACCCCCTCCATGTGCATTTCGTATACCAGTGAAGAAATAGTATGTGATTGTGTGGTTACACATTGTTATGATCTATTAACAAGGGAGCCAAAACAAGATTCTCACTGTCAACTGTAATAATGCAGATGTATCCACATGTTTGAAGAGTTGAGACGAAGCTGTGCCTTAATGACAGGCTTCTTAATGTGACTTTCAAGTTATTAAAGGAAAAAGGCTTTCTAAATCTTTATAACAATAAATTTCTAGCTACCATCATCAAGAAAAAGATGGCTGGAGTCCATATGCTGGACCTGAAGAAGTTCTCTAGCTGGCCTCTGTCCCTGGCTCTGTATTCTCTGCGTGCTCTAGAGAACTTTCACCTGATCTGTTCTTCAGGGGTGAAGGGTGGAGTGAGAGAGGGTATTTATATTATCACCAAGGCCAGGTTGGACACAGGGGCTTGGAGCAACCTGGACTAGTGGAAGGTGCCCCTGCCTGTGGCAGGGGGTTGGAACTGGATGAGCTTCAAAGTCCCTTCCAACCCAAACCTGTCTGGGATTTCTGTCATATGGGAACTTAAAGAGGGTGGCTTGACTCTGCACTTCCACAGCTACAGCTGCTCAGCAGCTTCAAGATATTCCTAGAACAGCATGTGCTGCTGCTTTAGTAGCAGATCGGGTTATTTTAGAACGTGCTTGTTTGGTTTTAGTCTTTTGGGTTTCTTGGCATGTCACTTTGGGTTTTGTGAGGGACACAAACAAGAGGATATTCCAATTTTACAAAACATTATAATTTAGTTTTAACCAAGAGGAGTTTTTGGAACAAGCTGGAGGCACAGCTGTAGCCTCTGGGGTTTCTGCCTGCTGAAAGGCTGCTGTAAGCATTGAAGAATGAGTGCTTCTCAAAAAAAGAAAATAAGCCAAAATCACTTCTGCAATGCACAGTCTTAGCCAATGTATATAGGAGGCTGGCACCAACTCCCTGTGTGCTACAGATCTGTCCCCAACTCAGAGTCTCAACTTGCCTTTGCATGTGCTTAAACCCGCTCTTGATCCAGCAGCATGAAAGCTGACCTCTAAGGACATTGTTGTACCTTAGTTTTACATGTGTGCCATGCTCTCTGTGCCTTTCTGCACAAGTATTGACATAAATGGATAATTAGAGACCAGAGATGCTGCTGATGAACACAAAGCTGAAAAGCAGCTGTCAACTGCTCAAAGGGCCTTAAATTTGGATGAATAGATGAGTACTGTTTGGCTACCTACTCAGTCCTATGTGACACTTGAAAACCTGTGATGGCAGGATTCCCACCCCGTGTATATTGCCTCTCACAAATCCTTTGCTTAAAGGAGGACAAGTGGTGCAGCCCCAACAGCATCCCCAGGAGCAGAGGAAGAGAAACAGCTACTTGAAGTCTCCAGAGGGAAGTCAGTTTGGCCAGCTGAGAGTAGTAATGCAGGGCACAGCCTGCATTACTAAAGAATCAACAGGCTCCAAAGTGTGTCCAAGCCTCCTCTGAACTACAAGAAATGCTGTTCAGTGTTGAGCTCTGTTGTTAAACACAGCTTGTAAGACTGCACCTGCTTGAGGGTTCCTCAAGTTAGAAGCTTGCTCAAAGCCTGGCCATGAAAGGGGAAAAGAGATTAATTCAGCTGAAGTTTAGACACTTACCTGGACTACCTACACAAAGACCTTAGTGACCCCAGGCTTCCTGCAGCATATGGAGAAGCACAGACACTGCCAAAGGAAGATTCAGGTCCCTGGTGTTTTACATCCGCTCTGAAAGACCAGAAGGCAATTTGGAACTCTGAGGACCTCTCTTGTATCTTAATGCTCTGTGTTTCCATCAGGATATGAGGGATTTTAACCTGGCTTAGCTAAGGCAAATACATCAGGAGGTTGGTGTCTATGGTTAGATGTTAGAAACCAGCCTGAGACCTCTGTGTTGTATCACTAGCTGACAAATGTTCTTATGATCATGATAAGTACCCAAAAAATAACTTCTGCTTGTTTTGAATTTGTTTCCTCAGCAAAACTTGCAGAACTTCATCTGTTTGCCAGTAATTTATATGAATTGGCTCATTTTCCACAAAACTATTATGGCAAACAGGAACTATTAATCTGCTTGTCCCTGACAATCAGCTCCAAGCACTCTATTCTAACCATTAGAGTACGGTGCTGCGTTTCCTGCTGTAACTACAGGTTTTAAACCAGTCATTGCAGCCTGACCGTACAATGTTCTGTTGACATGGCTTATTTCCTTTACCTTTACATAGAACTAACCCTGCCCCCTGTGCAGGCTGACAGCTATTAATTAACACTGCCCTGTGCAAAGCAGAAGCAGCCTCATTAGTGTTCCTCCCTGAAGGAGGAGAGGAGCAGCTCTTCAGGTATGCAGCATCACACATGCTTGGAAAACGCCTGCCAGATCAGGTTCCCTTTCTTTTTGAGTGCTTCAGAGTATTATAAATACCTTTTTCTGGCGGAAATAATGAAGGCAAGGCTGCGTGCCTGTTTGCTGGGACTGTGTCATCTGCTTTCAGCTTATGGAGGCACGTGTTGGTTGACTTTACGTTGTTGCTGCACAAATGCAGATCCTGTAGCCTGTTTCAGGGGGCTGGGGGTTGTAGCTTTATTTAGTTTCAGGTTATAGATGTTGGTCCAGCTGCCAGTTTCACAGATTTGAATTCATAAATTCAAATCCAGAGTTGATTGGAGGTCTTTTTAAATGGTGCATCCTGGCATGTATCAGCAGTACTGTGACCAGTAGGGCCAGGGCAGCGACCATCCCCCTGTGCTGGGCACTGGTGAGGCTGCACCTCAATTCCTGTGTTCAGTTCTGGAACCCTCACTACAAGAGAGAGACATTGAGGCGCTGGAGGGGGCCAGAGAAGGGCAATGGAGCTCGTGCAGGTCCTGGAGCACAAGTGTGATGAGGAAGGGCTGAGGGACCTGGGGGGTTTAGTCTGGAGAAGAGAAGGCTCAGGGGGGACCTTATCGCTCTCTACAACTGCCTGACAGGAGGATGGAGCCAGGAGGGGGCTGGTCTCTGCTCTTGCCTCAACGCAAAATAGGAAATGTTTAACAGGTATGCAATTAGCAACATATCACTTGAAGTCTTATGATTTTGTCAGCTAATGGCACTTGATGCAGAACTGTGTTCCTCTGAACTGAAAATTTTGCCATATCCCTCCAAATGTAGTTTATCGCAGAGAAGACAAATGTACTGCTTCCCTACTGTATGTGTTGAGAAATTCTGTACTGTGTTTAGCAGCATGTGTGGGACCAGAGCTGCTCAACACAGTTCTGTTATTTACTTACTGACATCAAGCAGAACTTAATTTTTCATTTAAGGGGTGCTATAGTCAGAAGAAGGGAAAAAGGAAGAAAAATCGATGAACTTGGCATGCAAGAATCTCCATTTTGTGTTTGCAACTGTTAGCCAAGATAGGGGATAGTGACATTGGGTCCTATGAGCTCTGCGATTCTGATTCTACAGCAAAGATATTTATTTACCCTTTATTCATTTTCTCTTCTTCCTCATTTACATAAACGTCCTCATTTCCATAAACTGCAATCCATACATTGTGATAGAGCAGCACGGCTTGCGGCAGTGCAGAACTGTGTAGTAATTACTGTATTCCAGCTGAGCTAATGAGTTTGTATCTCCACGCCATCCTCTCCTGACAGTGGACTAGCTTAATAGTTATTTATTTTGACTAATCTCCCATAAAGGCTCTTCCCTCTAGTCTCCTCCATTCTGTGATTTAGATGGAGAATCATTCTAATGCTTGGGTTTTTTATTATAGTGGTTATGGAACATTACTGGAATCAAATTAAATTTAGACATATTAAGGAGTCTGGCACAGTAAATACTGCACTTGTGAAGTTTGGGGGTTGAGGGATTGGAACAAAACCTGTTTCTCCAGCACCTTCCCATGTTCCCAGCTAAATAAAGCAGAGGAGCAAACCCCGGGCTGCCTATCTGCAGCACTGTTTGTTTTCTCTCTTAGCATTTACTGGGCAGCAATGAATAATTAAAGTTCTCCTGCCCACAGTTGTTACCATTTGAATAAATACCCCCACCAATGGAAGGGTTCAGGGTCCTTGTGTTTAGCTCAGCACAGAAATCTGCCCGTGGCTGCCTGCTGTGCCATAGGCTCTGCTGTATCTCCAGCCCCAAAAACACTACCTGGCCTTTTGCCTAGTTCTCCTCCGGTGGGAGAGAGCAGGAGAGACCTCTTCAGTTCTCTGCCTTCCCAGGAAGGGCAGCCCATTTACCCCTGCTCATTAGCCAGAAACTCACTGCTGGAAATAAGTCCAGTACAGTCAGGGAACTGCTGGGGAGCAGCATCTGCTTGCTTCAGATCCACGTTCAACCTGCTATGTGACAGCACTGTATTAGCAATTCAGTCCTGCTTCTTACTAAGGCTCACAGTTTATAAAAGGTTAATGAATGATTAATAGATATTTTTATGCGTTCTAATTAATTGCTGAAGAGGTCAGTAGGTTGTTCAGAAACATGGCTTGTAGCCATGTATGACATCTTCTATTGTGTTCATAACTGCCTGTCATGCACACAGTCTAAACATGCTTTAAATCCTCTATTAATAATGTATCAACCCATTGCAAGGCATTTAGAAACAGTATTTCAGGATGGTCTGAGATTGGTCATTCTTATTCTGATCTTCTCAGTTCTTACTCATATGAATGGTGTGTTGACTTCAAGAGACTGATCCAGCTGCTGTGATCTGTGATCCTGCCACCACCTGCAGCACAAGCAGGGTCAGTGATTGTAATATTGTGTCTGAAAGAGGCCCTCCCTATGAACAACAGGCAAAACCTGAGAAGATTTTAAAAGCTGGAGTAGCTGGATCAATCCCAAGAAAAACAGTTGAAGTAATTGAATTAGAAGTTCCTTCCTATAACCATCACTTTCTTATATATACAAATATATATCAATTTGTGAGTGAATGGGTGGATCATGGAACCATGGTCCTGAAGAATGACACAGCAATGCATGAGGATAGAGGTCCTGGCTATGAGAGTGAATCTCTCACCTTACTCCACGCAGGTCGTCTGAAAACAGTAAGCTGCCACAGTTGTAAATTCGAGCCCCAACCTGCCTCCCAGCTTTTGCTGCGCCTGGGGTATGCTGCCTTGACACTTAACATCACGAAGGCTGGCCAGCATGTTAAACAGCCAATGCAGGTTCCCTCTCCTGTGTATTCTCTGCCTGCTTCTGCCCACAGGCGCAGATGATGGATGTACTTGACCCCAAAGGGGTGCTTGTTGTGTTACGCTAGCAGGGTGGTGAAGCGAGGGGGCAGCTCACACACACAAAAGGGACTGAAGGCCATAGACTTGATGAACTTATTCTTTTTCCTCCTGTAAATGAGGAGCCAGGACATCTGGTGGTAATGATCTAAATGCACTTTTATCCCA